GTCGACTGAAATTAAGTTCTAGTTCTTGTTATTTGCTGAGATCAGTTTCTGGATTATTGTTCTCTGTTATCTTGGTATTTCAGTAGAAAACTTGTTTTCTTCTTGGTGTATTGTGATCTATTCAGTATGGAAAGGGTTGGAAGTGAGGTGAAAACTCAAGGGGAAGGTTTTTGGACTGGTAACATGACTGAAAATTCGTTCCAGATTACCACTGTTAGGTTTGATGGAACAAATTACTTGGAATGGGCCCAATAGGCAATGATGGCCATTGGGGGTAGAGGGAAATTAGGGTATGTGACCGGAGACACAAAGGAACCAGCCAAGGAGGATATATCTCATCCAAGATGGGTTCAAGGGAACTACTACTTGGTGATGACCTGGCTATACAACTCTATACAACCCCACATCAGCTGAAACTACCTTTGGGCAAAAACAGCCAAGGAAATCTGTGACAGCATGAAGGAGACTTATTCCCAACCTCTTAATGTGGCTAGAGATTATAAACTAAAGTGTGAAGCAAACAACCTCAAACAAGGGGGAGAAGCCAGTCTCAGTGTATTTTGCTACTCTAAAATCCCTTTGGCATGAAATTGGTCACTTGGAAACTATTGAAAGGGAAATCCAGAGGGATGCAGCAACATATAGAAAGCTGATTGAAACAAATAGTCTTTGAGTTCTTAACCGGTCTAAACTCAGATTTTGATATTACAAGACAGGAACTTCTCACTAGGGAGAGTGTGACCCTATCTCAGGCCTACTCATTAGTCCACAATGAAGAGAGTATGAGGAAGGTGATGCTATCTTTTCAGCCCACAAAAGCAGCATTAGCAGCAACAAAATTCAAGGTTGGAGGGGAAAAGGAGAGGGAAGTTAAGAAGGAAGACAAAAAGGATATTTTTGTGATCATTGCAAAAAGCCCAAGCACACTAGGGACACTTGTTGGAAGTTACATCCTCACCTAATGGCAACTAGACTTAGAAACAATAAGGGGAGTGCTAATGTAACAACTACTACTGATAGTGCATCTTCCTCCAGCACAAGGACCACACCTTTGGATGCCCTAGCAGCTGTTTGGGCTGCACTGACACAGCTAGAAAATGAAGCTGGTATTTCTGGATCTACATCTTAGTCTTTGGCTACCACACCTGTTCATCCTACTTTAACCCTTGCTCATATCGGTACAAGAGCTACCGCATGTCATGCTCCTGTCCCAAGTAACACTAGACCTTTATGGGTAATAGATTTAGGTGCTTCAGACCATATGACCAGTTTATCTACTTTGTTTAGCACCTATTGTTTATCCTCTGAGAGAGACAAAGTTTCTATTGCTGATGGCTCCCTTGCGCCAATTTCTGGCAAGGGAGACATTTGTTTGATGCCATCACCCTATCCACAATTTTGAATGTTCCCAAGCTTAGTGCTAACTTGCTTTTAGTTAGTAGTATTACTAAGAATCAAAATTGTTCAGTAACCTTTTTCCCTGATTGGTGTGTTTTTCAGGATTTGGAAACGAAGAAGGTGATTGGGATTGGCCATGAGATGAATGGATCCTACCTACTTGAACATTCACAGAGGAAGCAAAGAGAAGTGGGGAAATTGTTTGTCTCTCGGTCTTGGAGTAAGATTATGCTTTGGCATAACCACTTAGGTCATTTATCTTTTGGGTCTTTGAAGAGTCTTTTTCCAAACTTAAAAGAGTCAGTAGAAGTATCAAGTTTGAAATGTGAAAGTTGTGAGCTTGCAAAACACAGCAGATCATCTTATCCTTTGAGTAATAAAAGAAGCAACCTTCCTTTTGAAATTGTGCATACCGATGCTTGGGGGCCATATCATACTCCCACCATGAGGGGGTACAGATATTTCTTGTTATTTGTTGATGATTATACCCGTTTCTCATGGGTTTACCTTATGCACTCTCGAGATGAGGTCCATTCTCTAACCCAAACATTTCATCAGATGGTTCTAACCCAATTTGAAACCAAGATCAAGACTCTTAGATCCGATAATGCCAAGGAATACTTTGCAAAACCCTTAGCATCCTATCTCCTTGATCATAGGGTCATTCATCAAAGCACCTGTCCTCATACACCTCAGTAAAATGGGGTTGCTGAGAGAAAAAACAGACATATCTTAGAGGTAGCCAAAAGTGTCATGCTCAACTCTAATGTTCCCATACGCTTCTAGGGGGATGCAATCCGTACATCCGTGTACCTTATTAACAGGGTTCCTTCACGGGTTCTAAACATGCAAACTCCATTCAATCTTTTGTATCCAGATAAGGACCTATTCACTATTCCCCTCAAAACTTTTAGGTGTACTTGTTTTGTTCAAATTCTTGGACCTCATAGCTCTAAGTTTGATTCCAAAGCTACTAAGTGTATTTTCCTTGGGTATGCACAAAATCAAAAGGGATATTGTTGTTTCAGGGAAGCGTTTTGTGTCCATGGATGTCACTTTTTTTTAGGATATGCCCTACTATTATAGGGCTTCTCCTTAGGGGGAGAGTAGTGAGGAAGGGATTTCAGTTTCAGCCCCAAAAGTTCCTTTACCTGTCTCAGTTACTGAGGGGGAGAGTTGTAAGAGGGTGAGGGTTGTCAAAAATGCAGAGTTAAGAGTGTATCACAAAAAGTGATGGAGGCAGGTTGATTCTCGTGCTCAACAACAATCCAGGTCGATTCCAACATCTTCTACAACCCCAGATCCAGACACTACTACTGTTCCCACAGTTGATCCCACTATTACAGATGCACAACCCTCATCATCAGATGAACTTGATCTTCCAATTGCAATACGTAAAGGGAAGCGTCGTTGCACCTCATCCATTACCCATTGCATCTCCAAGTGCCTTTCCTATGATTGTCTCTTAGAATCCTATAGATCTTACCTGGCATCTATTGCTACTATTCCTATACCTAGAAAAGTACAAGAAGCCCTTTTGATACCTAAATGGAAGGAAACAATGCAAGTAGAGATGGATGCTCTTGTTAAGAACAACACATGGAAACTAGTTAACAAGCCTGAAGGAAAGAAACCTATTGGATGCAAATGTGTGTTTACTGTGAAATATAATGTTGATGGTACTGTAAAGAGGTATAAGGCCAGAATGGTTGCAAAGGGATTCACACAAACTTATGGCATAGACTATACGAAAACGTTTGCACCTGTTGCAAAGATGAACACTATCAGAGTCCTACTATCCATTGCTGCGAACTTCTCATGGCTACTATTTCAGCCGGATGTTAAGAATGCTTTCCTCAACGGAGACTTGCAAGAGGAGGTATACATGGAGTTACCCCCTGGCTTTTATAGTATAGAAGCAGGAAAGAAAGTTTGCCTTTTGAAAAAGGCCTTGTATGGGTTGAAACAATCTCCGAGAGCTTGGTTTGATAGGTTTAGACTGGCTTTGGACAAATTCAGCTACATACAGGCTCAGTCAAATCACATTCTCTTCTTTAAGAAGACAGGTCTTTCCCTAACTCTACTTGCAATCTATGTAGATGACATTGTGACAACAGGGAGTGATATTAGTGAAATTGAAACTCTTAAACAACATCTTCACAAGGAATTTGAAGTGAAAGACTTAGGGGAATTGCACTATTTCCTAAGAATTGAGGTAGCTCGATCTAAGCATGGCATTTTTATCTCTCAAAGGAAGTATGTTCTGGACTTATTGGAAAAAACTGGAAAGTTAGGAGTGAAACCTGCTGACACACCTATTGAGCTTAACCACAAAATAAGTGCAGAAGATGGAGAACTTCTTGAGGAGAGGGCTATGTACCAAAGGCTAGTTGGGAAACTTCTTTATTTTTGCCTAACTCGGCCAGATATTTCTTATGCTATCAATATTGTTTGCCAATACATGCATTCTCCTAGGAACACCCACCTCCTTGCAGTAGAAAGGATTCTTGCCTACTTAAAGAGATGTCCAAGGAGAAGTATATTCTTCAAAAATAATGGTCACGTGAAAATAGAAGTGTATACAGATGTGGATTGGGCTGGATGTGTTGATGATAGGAGGTCCACCTCTGGATATTGTGCATTTGTAGGAGGAAATCTTGTTTCCTAGAGAAGTAAGAAACAGAATGTTGTTGCTCACTCCAGTTCAGAAACAGAATACAGATCTATGGCCAATGGTGTTGCAGAAGTGCTATGGCTGAGATCCTTACTTAATGAGTTGGAAATTGATTATGAGAAACCTCTGATGTTGTATTGTGATAATCAAACTACAATTAATATTGCCCACAACCCAATATAGCATGACAGGACTAAGCATATCGAGGTTGACAGACATTTTATCTGAGAGCGAGTTGCACCTCAAGAAGTGTGCCTTCCTTACATTGCCTCAAGCATGCAATTAATTGATCTCTTCACCAAGGCAGTCACAAAAATCAAATTGGAGACAGATTTACGCAAGTTGGGCATGACAAATATCTACTCCCAACTTGAGGGGGAGTGTAGAAATAGTTAGTAGCCACGAGTGTGGGGTTCCATACCCACACTTAGGCTCTAATGTGAGTGGTTCCATACCCACACCTAGTTATTTTAATTATTTTTAAGTTGGGCGGCTGGCCTTATCCATGTTATGTTTTGTTTTATTAGGACTAGAATTTATCTTTTACCTCCTATTCTTGTAAGGAACCAAAACTATATAATGAAGTTTATGGGGTGGCAGAATTTATTAACCGAACCCCTTTATTCCTCTCTCCCTCTTCCCTTCTTCTCTTCGAAACCTAGATCTTTTCTTCCTTTTTTTCTTTAAGACAGAAATCCACTAGCTTTCTTCAAGTATTTCAAATTCTATGAAGAAAGAAAAAGAAGAGGAAGTTTTATTTCCATGCAGTTCCCAAATGTGTCCAAATTGTCCTCACTGGTAGCCACATGTTTTAATGTACCAATGCTCATTATTAATTGCGATAAACATAGCATACAAACAAGAAAGATTCATGCAACCCATCACATAAAATTTTCAAAAAGCATATGCTATGAGATTAAGATACAACCTGATGCAGCCAGAAAGGCTTTTCAGTCTGTTGATTATATGAAAGTTTTGCTTCCTCATGGACAGTGTTTATCCCAACTGCAGCAGGATGATTCCATGGAAAATCATTAACTATGGATCTGTGTAGAGGCTGAAAGCCTGTTGCACATTCATTAATATCAACTCCACAAGTTTTTCTTTCCAAAGCCTGGTTACAAACTTGGTGGATTTCCTGTCTTAGTTCTGAAAATGTACCCAGATCTAATTTTAGATCACCCTGCTTCAAATTTGGAGATTCCACTTGAATAACAGATGGATTACATTCCACAACTGAAAACTGAGCTGCTCCTGGAGTTCCTTCAGACAGGATGGTAGTAGTATTTGCTATTTTAAAATTGTTTTCTTCAACTTGAAGGTCAGATTCATCTAGATAATCTTCTGGGAGTTTTTCAAGATCGATTTCTATCCTCGGTTTATTTTTAGAATTTGAAGTACTAGATTCAGTATTATCTATCCATAATGATGTTTTTGGACCAGAACCTGTAAACTCTTTCACTGAACAAACAGGATTTGAGGACAGAACATGTGACCCTTCCTGGTAAGCTTGAGTAGAAACTCTAGTTGACCTTAAAGGTTTTTCTTCCACAGTTGAACCATGAAGTGCATCAGGAATTGCAACAGTATCTGAATTAAATGTCAACACTTGGACCTGAGAATAAGCCCTCTTCCTTGTTTCTTGCATTGCTCTTTTCTGGATTTCATACAGCTTGTGCAGTGCCTGAACCTGAAAAAGAAATTCACTTTGTAAATATAAAAGAAGGTAGAATATGGCATAGGAAATCTAATGAAATATCAGCACAAGACCACATAATATGAAGTATATTTTGAAAAAGGTAAGGTCTTGTATTAAAAAAACAAATCTTAGGTGTACAAAGAAATACAGACCTGAAGTCCCTATACAGTGAGAGACTGTACCTATAAGCAAAAAGGAAGCCCTTAGATTTTTTTGTTTGTTTTTTGGAAAGACAAAACAACCTAATTAAAAAGAGAGCTTCCACAGACATAACAAGAAAGAAAAGCATATTGATGAATTCCTTCAAAACTCCTACCCAAGATATGACGGATGATGCTCCCTTTCCATTAACCTCCTCAACCCAAGCCTCCTTATTCTCAAAAATCCTGTGTTTTTTCCCTTCCAAACATTCCAAAAAACAGCAAAGGAATGGATCTCCATACTACTTTACCCTTCTGACTTGGACCTCTGAAATGCAACCAAGCAATAGTGTCCATTGGTGAATTGGGGAAAACACCAATAAGGTTAAAATACTTCAGGAAAAAGTCCCATATTTTTTGAGTTAAGCGACAATGAATAAACAGGAGTTCAGCAATCTCCAAGTCTGATTGACACAGCACACACTCTAGAGAGGAGATTTATATGCCATGCTTGCTCAGCTTGTCCTTGGTTAAACATTTGCCCAGAATCACTGTCCAAATTAGAAAAGGTAACTTCTGATAGGACCTGGAAATCCATTACCACCTTGACAGGAAAGTAGGAATTGTTTCAAGTCCTAAGATGCCAAGCAAAAGATATCACCAAAAAGATTCCTGATTTTTCCCACAACCAACTTCTACCATCATGTATCCCATCAACTAGATGATAATGTATGATCTTTTGGAAAAGATCAGCAGCCTGTTCAATCTCTCGATCAAATTTCTTTTAAATTTCAGAATCCAAACCATTTTGTTATCCACCATCTCATACATGTGAGAAACCAGTGCCTCTTTGTCTTCCACAACCAAGTAGAGATAAAGAAAGACCTCCCTAAGAGGTCTGCTATCACACCAAACATCACTCCAAAAAGGAATTCTTGATCCATCACTAAATTTGTATCAAATGCATTTTAGGAATGAGCAAAAGTTTTTTCAATTCCCTTCTAAAGTGAAATACCATAAGAGGAATTGGCTTCTCCTAAGTCCCATCCAAGATTTCTCAAACCATAGCCTCAATTATATGAAATATTGGGGAATAATGAGAAATAAAATAGTGGGAATTACGAGACCATTATTCTTACCATTATAATAGCCCATCATGGATAATAAATGCCAAGACATAAATTACTTAATTTAATTATGACCGTTATTCATAATGATCAATGGCTATCCTATTATAATGGCTGTAACCATGCATCATGTTAGCTTTAAATTGGTTCTCACCATATTCATTATTCAAAGCCTTGATGAAAGGATTTCAGCAAATTGAGTATCCATCAATAATGAACCTCTCTCTCTCTCTCTCTCTCTCTCTCTCTCTCTCTCTMTATATATATATATATATATATATATATATATATATTTCACATGTGCCTCCTCTTGCCCTCCCTTTTCGCACATGTGCAAATTTGTTTTTAAATAAAATCATTAAAAATATAACATGTCAAAATTAAAACCCAGGTCTTCATTGTCTCTCATAAATTCCATATTTACTCGCTAATAACACCATTATTCTCTCTCTCACCTTAATAGTTAATGTTTGTAACATCTCCCCTCCCCATTAAATCTCTCTTTTCCTCTTAAATTTCTTTTAATCCCTTTTGACTCTATCTAATAAAGTAGGGGTATTAATTAGATGGATTGGGTTAGATTAAGGGCCAACCTAAACATGAACCCTAGCTTTCACCCAAACTAATATCAAAACCCAAATTTGCCCACCAATACATGGGGTGAACCTATTTTCCTCTTATACAAAAGTCTAAAGAAACCATTTCTCCTTTCCATGGGTTATTAGGTTTTTCTCTATTCTTGTATTAATTTAATGTACATTTGTTTCATGAACTCTTCTGGTTCAATAATAAAAATCACTTAACATGAGCCTTTGGTTATCTTCGTCAGTTCAAATTTGAAATTGTTTTTTTTTAAATTGGTTATTTATCTCATGTTAAGCACATTTTTTGGCTATATAAAAAGGAATAAGTTTGAAGCTAAATAACTAAAAAGGAAAAGAACTTTATTTTTCTACTATTTTATTTGTAAAGAACTAGAAATATATAAAAACTTTGGTGAATCAATGTTACTTCATTTTTTCCCTTAAAAATAAATTTTAAAAAACAGCATGTGCATCACACGGGTCACTGCTAGTATACACTATAAAGGGACACGACATTGGTTCGAAAGGAAACAAATATTTAAGCACAAAATTAATACCATATAATCATGTATGCTCTGATAAATAAATAGAAAATATATCAGCAGAAATATATGTAATAGCCTTATAATGCTCATCATAATAAAGCCCTTTGCCCTGGGAAGTATTGAATGCCTACAGATCCCTTTATCTGCCTCAAGATGTACAGTCTACAAAGCAATAAGTCAATGAATAAAGTGATTTGTGCAAGCAAGATTTGACAACCTAAATAATAAAACTAATTTCATTACCAGCTAGACAACACATCCTTCAGGTAGATAATGTGATGATAAACATCTCGCATTCCCAATTCTGTTTTTGTGTTTCTGATCAAAAAAGAATCTCATATTCCTAATTCTACGAGATCTCCACCTCCATAAAGGCCCCTTAAGTCAAGCCCAAACAAGTCCATACAAGGGTCTTAAAACTTTTTCAGTAAAGAAATGTTTTATGATTTTAGTTGTAGTTCACCATATTTTAGGATTAGGAATCAAATGTTATTTGATTAAGAAATTCCTGTATTAGGAAGGATGAGAGAAGACTAGCAAAAAGGGGGCTATTATGTGAACTAAAGCTTTGGGTATTTGAAAAGTCTTTGTTTTTGTTTTATTTAAAAGTTAATAAACCATTACTAATCTACAATCAGTATTAAAAGGTAATTTAGAAGTTGATAAACCATTACAGAGAGGTGAATCCACAAAAAATATAACAAAAAACTTTCAAAAAAGACACACGCCTAGACTGAGGTGCAACGTGTACCAGGTGCACACCTTTTCAAAGGGGCTCATAGGCTGAGGCAAGGCACATAGCCACATACCTTGAAATCCACGTCGCCTGTGCACTTAAACATGCCTTTTAAATCACTGAATTCTACAAATAACCCTAGCCCTTTTAAAGAAGGTAAAAATAAGCTCCAGACAACAGCTAGAAATAACCATCTGGTACGAAACAAAGAAAACAAATGTTCCTAGAAACCAGAGACAAAAAGATAGGAGTATTAACCAAAAATGTTACAAGAAAACTTACAAGAAATTTTTTGTATACTAAGGATGCAATGCCAGGGGTCTCCATTTCACCTTTGGAATGACTAGGAAAAAGCCCCAATGAGTTTCAGCACATGGCAATAATCAAAAGGGTGTTCTACCATTTGCAATCTTCCTCCTTTTTTGCATATGATAAACTTGCTTTCCAACTTAAACCACTATCTTTTGAGCTTGTCCAAGCTGAAAACCTTTCACAGGGCACCAACCATGTGAAGTCTGAATGGAATGTCTATCACTTTACATGTCTAGCTTCTTTATCAAGTAAGTCTAGGACTGAATCATGAGACTTCCTGATTCTGACGTACACAACATCAATCAATTGACCTAACAATGTGACCCATGGATCTTTTGTATTTCCACCAGGTAAGCATGGTACTTGGTAAAGAAAAGAAATTTATGAGACTTGAACTCAAATATTTCTGCAGAACTTTGATGGTTACACCTTGAGAGACTTTTTTTCCCCTAATACACTTTAAAGTGGCATACAAAAGCTATGGTGCAAAGATTAGATTGGTTATCTCAAAGAGTCATAAGTAGGTTAACCTTGAGGTTATACTCTTCCCACATAATCATTGACTAAACAAACTTACAAGTGCCATGTTCCATAATGCAAATTCATTTATACACGTTGCTCTCATTGCTTGTGCGTGAATTTAAGAATTGGACAACCATCATAAGGAGCAAGCATCCAAAATATTGTTAGCAAGACATTTGAAAAGAAATATTGCAACTTCTTTAAACAAAAAATAATCATGACTAATTCTCTATAATAAGAAAGATACACAACTCAGTAGCAGATTTTAGTTGGATTCAAACTTGTTTAACACTTATGAAATGATAATAATAATAATAATAATAATAATAATAATAATAATATTATTAATTATAATAATAATAATAAGGAATGAAGAAGAAGAAGAAGAAAAGGAAATGAAAAGAACTAAAGAAAAAAACTATGGCATGTTACAGATCTTTTATGTATATCCATGTAGTGTACATAAAAGGAAATGACTTCAAACCTGTTCTTTGAACAATGCTTCATGGCACATCATTGTACTCCGGATTTGATCCATTTTTTCCTTGGGAATACTTAGAAGATGAGTTCCAGGATTGAAAATGCTGGCATCATTAGCAACTTTCATGTTGGCACTGGAACTATTTGAGCCACCTGTGGGAAAACTCAAAGCCATTGCATCTCTTGGAGCATGGTGGCAGATCATGGTTATTCTGGATTACTGCATACCTTGAATTTTAAAAAAACAAAGTCAAAGAAAAAAAATGCAGAAGAGAACTTAAAATTCTAAAATGTTTGAACAGAAGAGTATTATATAAAAATGGTATGGTCATGATCATCCAAACCTTCTTGTATTGTCTGGTGTCAGTTAATATTAAAAGGCATAGCATTCAAAAACAAAAATTTACTTCCATAATAATCCAGAAGCAGCCATTTCAATACCCAAGGCATGAGTAACCTATAAGAAACGACAAGATTAAAAACAAAAATTTATTGGAACAATCCTAAGGAAAAACGAATCCTTTTCGAGTTTTTTAATCAATAATCCTTTTCAAGTTTTATGTGCTTATTAGTTTAAAAAATTCATTCCATGTCAAGATGGCCATAAAGCAGTTACCAGGGAAGTCTCATAATCCTTTATTTGTTGAGCTTTAAGGAATCAAGATGCCAATCATGAAAAACAAATTAATAAGATAGAAAGTGATTTTATTAATGTGGTTGGATTTTATGTGCTGAAACTTGTTCATTTTAAGTTTGGTTTTGGATTGCACTGCTTGTTGATACATACAGGTTGAAATGCCTTTACCCTTGGGTTTGGGTGTTCTTCAGGCTGGATTTGTTCTTTTATGTAATTTGTCCTTTGCTTTTCTCTTGGAATTTCAGAACCTTGCAATGTTGGTAGTATTAGGTTTCCTCTACATCTGAGGCTTTGAGGGTGAGGCCTCATTGGTGGTTGGTGGAGTTGGGTGTTTGGAGTTCATTTTATTTTATAACCTTTCTCATAGCCTTCTCTTCTTTGTGTGTATTTTATATCACTTCTGTAGTTTGTTTGCTTTTTCCATTAACCAAAACGTGGTTATTAACCAAAAGAAATGTAAACTTTTCCATCAGTCATTTCATAATTGTGAAGGATACATTGGCTACTACAAAGTGGATACATGAGATTTTCTGCCATCAGCTCCAAACTTCTATTATCTTTCCATAGTGTGAGACCCACAACAAACTTGAGAAATTTGGCATGTTGATGTCCAGTAAGCTCTAGGTAATTAAATCTTGGTCAATCAATATCAGATATGAGAAAAAATAGCATTCAGAATCCATCTAATACAGTCCCATTTCTGAGGAAAATGCAAATGCTCAGCCTCACTCACTGTTCAAACAATACTAATATCTATAAGTTGTAGGGAAGCAAAACTCATTCAAGCAGAAAATTTTTATGTTGAACTGAGTGGGCCCAATATGGTTCACATATCAGATGTCTTGGGTGGTTAAATCTTTCCAAAACCAAAACAAGGATATGGAAGCTAGGAGTCATGGAGGACTGAATTAAGGGGAAGATCATTTAATTTTATTTTGGGTAAATAATAGATAGGTACCCTGTACTTTGGGGGTAATGACAGATAGGTACCCCAAACTTTCAAATGCAACAGTTGAGTACTCTGAACTCCCAGAAATAGATACCCCAGCCCAGCTGCCAGTATTCCATCAGTTATCCACAATATGTGAAGTCGTGTACGACTTTAAACATTCCAAAATCCCAAAATTACTCTTTTCGTGTTTTCGTAGACCATTTTGAAATGTGACACTTGAGTACCCTGTACTTTGGGGGTAGTGACAGATAGGTACCTTGAACTTCCAAATGCAAAACTTGAGTACCCTGAACTCCCAGAAATAGACACCCTGGTTTATTTTGATATTCTAATTTTCCTTCTCAGATTTCATTCTCAAGCCTGAACTACAGCAAACGTGGATCAATCAACAAAGAATAGAAGGGGTTTCATTCTCGGGTTTGATTTTCTTATTTTTGAAACCATATTTCCCTTTCTCCTCTATGAAAACGTGGTTCTGACTTCTGAGTCTTCGTTCTCAAGTTCTTATTTTTGAAATCCTTATTTTTCTTCTCAGATTTCATTCTCAGGTTTTATTATCTTGATTGTTCTAAGATCATTTTCAGGTAAGAGAAACATGTCATTTAACCAGGGTTGTTTTGGTCATTTTCAACTTTTGTTTTTCAATAATTCAATATATATATGGGCATTTTAGTAATTTTAGTGCACACCATAGCATTGGTTAATGGCACTGGACTAGGGTGTCTATTTCTGGGAGTTCAGGGTACCTATCTGCCACTACCTCCAAAGTACAGGGTACCTATCTGCAATTTACCCTTCTATTTTTTCACATTCAACCCCACCAAATTTCTACACTGAAGCTCATAAAACTAATAATGAAATAATCCTCTAGGTGGCTGATAAGGAGGATATTCCCCCTCATATTTGTACATTATACTCCTTGAATACCCAACATGACAGCATGGATCGCTCTACTCCAAAATCTTGATCCCTCATGCCCAAAGTTACAAGGTTTCTATTAATGCAAGAAATCAGTCACCTTCACAAAGACCAAGAAGAAATGCTCCTTAGATTGTCAGATAATGAAGACTGCAAAATTAAGTTTCTGGTTGATTCTTCAATGGTTCAACCTAAAGCATGAAATATAAGCTTGGTGTGAGATGCACTTGACCTTAGTGCCTGTAACTGCCTTCCTGAAAACCACCTCTCATAAATAGAACCTCACATAGGAAAGGGAGATAAAGATGAAAAGATACAGAGATTTCAAGCCCTTCCTAGGGTCATATATCCTAATAAATTAGAAATCACTTTCTGCACCAAAAAAGAGATGAGAATGAGATGAATCTATGATTAAAACCAAGATCTTAATAGTATAAATAACTTGAGACTAAATATTGATGAGATACTTAACTTCCCACTAAACTATTGTGTCACCATGAAAGACCAGAACGTTAGGTTATTGGCACAAATCCAGCCATCTATATTTGGGGCATTTCCACAAAATCATGACTATTGGCTCCCAGTTGAAGCAGTGAACACAATCTATCCATAGATGGCCTATTTTGGAGAGAGAAATCAGACACATTTTTGTTGAGAAATTGGAGACAATTAGATTGGGTATATGCAGGGGTGGCCAAGTACGATAGAGTTCTAATTGAGATTTTTTATAAAAATATGGAAAAAATCCTCATGAAGAAAACCTGGGAAATCACAAAAATCTTGGGAAGAACTGGGAAAAAAAACTATCTGAGAGTTGGTTTCACTAACTATAGAGTGGGGCAATTTAAAGAGAGACTTCCCTCCCTAGATAAAGGGAGAGAAGGCTTGGTTTGATGGGAAAAATGAATGGCTTTACCTGTGGGGTCAATCTCATTGTTTGATGAAGTTCTCCCTGATCTTTGACACCTGGTTAGTGGAGTGGTTGTTGCACACACACCAGATATACCTAGAATATTCCAGGATTTATTGGAAGCACTCACAAGACATGTGCAAGGAAAAAAACAAATAATTCAATTGCATTGCTTGCCGAAGTCATCCAGTTCCAGTACATAAATGTAGACTGTAGAGAATGATCAATCCTACTAGAACTAAGAAAAGTAGGAATTACAAATTTGACACCATGACCATGATACTTCAACACAAGGAAAGTCAAGTAACTCCTGAACCACTTAAGCTATGACTATGAAATTTTAAACATTACAGGACTAGACAAACCAAACTCCTAAGGTGGGGCAAACCAAATTTTAACAAAATGGTTGGATATCCCTAACATCAGTCCCATGTAATTCACAAGTATTATCTTTGTGCCAAATAAAAGCTTGTTGTTGGGATTTTCTTCTGGTACATGTCTTCTGGGCCTGCTATAATCCACATCAAGGGTTTTTTGCAGCCTTTATAAACAGTAACCTACTCCCAAAAATGGTGAATGGAGAACATTATTGATGTTTTTACAACTTCTTGAGTTTTGGATGAGTGAATTATTTATAATGACGAGATCCTGTCATCTCTCATCTTTTTTTTCCTGATAAGTACCTTTGCATTTGCATCCATTTATGAATGAGCTTTATGATGGATGTATCAAAGGGGAGATCTAGCCAATCAAAACCCCGTCATCATTTGAAATAGGGTTTGGCACCTTTCTCTTCTCCTTCGGATCATCTTCCTTCTTCTTTCCCCTCCTTTTTTTCTCGGTAAATACACATTTAAGTTGCTGTTCTCAAGGTAGTACTTCCCTCCCCCGTGAGTTGTACTATTAAGTTTTGGTAGCAGAGCAAGTAATCCACCACCACCCGCACCTCCTCCTTTCCCTCCCTTGAGCATTTTCTAAAGGTTGTATCCCTGCAATTTTGAACATTAGCTATGACAGCAGAGTTTCACCTAGTCAGTCCATGTATGGCACATTGTCATGGTTTACATAATTTAATGACAGAAACTCATGATTGCCAATCCAGAGCTAGCACTTCGGCACTTGCAGCCATAAGATCAACATTTGCAGTAAACACATTGACAATCATGTCGGACACCTCATCGTTTTCAGTTAAGACAACATGGCACTCAACCCCACAGTTGCAATCATTAACATCTATCTGCAATTCCTTAATTGTGCTTCCTTTAAAAGCTTTACAGTAGCTGCAGTTCCCTGTCACACTCGGCTGCAATTAGGTAAACAGTAATCCTTGGTTATGATTCACTCACCACAAATTCAATTACCATTTGACAGAAAAAGCAAAGTGTTGCTCTCAGAAATGTGTCTATTAGTTTGTTAATCACATAATCCTCATTGTGGAAGATGATCATAACCACAGAGAGGAAGAAGCCCTGTTATACTTTTGGTATTCCTAGCGCCTACATTCATTCCTAGAAGATAAGAGTCATGTTTGGAAAATAATTTCTCAAGTGATCCCGCCAAAGCAATCGTGGAGGATTCAAGAAGGTATTACTAAAAGAAATCGAACATTAAAACATCAAGGCAGAAGCTGGGTCAATCATGATTTTTCAAATTATGATCCACGACCCAAAACAACAAGGCCAACAACAAACTGCAGTAGAAAAGCACCCTAACCAAATGATATATCACGTTCATCCTCAAAACCCATCACATAATCAAATTTTGAAAATAAAACAGATAGAATCATAGCGTGCAGAAAGGAAAACAAATTTGAACAACGGAAACGGTTTCAGCAATTACTCGAAACAATTCAGACAAGCAAAACGAAGACATACCCAGACAATAGATCTGACGTCCGGTCGTCCGTCCAGCATCGCTGTCGGGGAGGATTGGCAAGAAAAAATGTACAAACAACAACAAGAACTTCGTTATCGATTCAAGCTATGACCAAGAGAGAGAGAGGATGGGAACGAAAATAAATTGAGATGAAAGGAAAGCGGTCCCAGAGATTCCGGGGCTTGAGGATTCTCGTTCTCGTTGCCCATAAATCTGGCAAATGTGAAGCGAAGACGACGAGGATATCGCCTCCCATCTAGGGCTGTGGCATGCTGGAACAGATGCCACGTGTCGCGAGAAGACAATCAAAGAGATCAAAGTCGTGTACCTGATTGGCAGCCACTTTTTTTCTTTCCTTGTACTTTTTATACTCCCCAAGATATTTTCATTTGTTTGACTTTGACTCTCAAATCCAGATAATATTGGAGGGATAAAGTGGTAAATCCACATCAAACCCGATAATCGGGAATCTCTGAACCGACCCTCGCCGTTGGATGATATGGACAAACCGATAGAGCGGAGATTTATGATTTTATGGTGTTGACCTTGTCCGCCCCTGCGGAATCCAGAAATCACAAATCAGAATTGCAAATATGAATAATAAATGTAAATATAAATAATAAATAAATATCCAAATATTAGATATTTTCACTTTTTTCCTGCACTTATTCGCTGCATTATATATGAAGCACATGTCAGAGACTGACTGGTACTCTGGTAGTGCAGGAAACAATAATATGCTTTGTTCTCTCATATATTTGTTGCGACATGATGCTATGATACCGGAAAAACTTACTGCCAATCAATCGGTATCATAAAAAAAAGGGTGAGTAATCAGATGGCATTCATCAAAAATTGAGGGGTGGATGAGAGCAAAAGCCAAAAATTATAAAACTTGCTTTCATTGAGATTCGAACTCAAGACCTCCCGCTTACTAAACGGGTGCTCTAACCAACTGAGCTATGAAAGCGATGTTATCGTAAATCAATAATAATATTTTTATAGTCTCTTAAAATAATTCAAAGCTATTTTATAAACATCACCAGAATCCGAAGTTAAATGTGTTGAGATGGATCTAGGTTTTGGGCCTTGGTTTTCTTTCCAAAGCCCAACCTAGCCCATACTTTAGACACACTAAAATATGTATGTATATTAAGATATATTTTGTATTGTATTAAGTATTATATTAACATATATCCCAAATTTGGAGATGTTGGCTAGTAATGTGATTAATCGTGATAGAAAGGTTTGGAAGAAAGATATCATTAAATCTTTGGTGCTCAAGATTTTTTGGCACCATATAAAATTTATCTTAATTCTCTCTAATAATTTAGAGGACAAGATAGTTTGGACGTTCTCTCCGGATGGCAAGTTAGGATGGCCTACAATGAAGAATGTAGTATTAATAGTGGAATTGGTAATTCTGATAGAGGTCAGACGACTAAATGTTTCTCCTAAGATTAAAGTTTTTCTCTTCCTCTTTAATGGCAAGCTTCCCACAAAGAATAAGCTTATTGCGAGAGGTCTTGACATTAATCCTAAATGTGGGCTTTATGGTGAAGAGGAGAACATTGACAATTTGTTCATAAGTGTAATATTGCTGAACAGATTTGGATGCTTGTTAACGTTGTGCTTCCAATTCCTAATGATAATGATGCGTCAGTTAATGCCTGGTGGGATAGAATTGCTAAAGATCAAGGTTCAGATAACGATAAATTGTTTAGAGATACGATAGCAATTATTCTTTGGTTTATTTGGAAAAACAGAACTTAGAAATGCTTTAGTAATAAGTCATCGCCTCCTCAAGTTCGCATCAACAGAGCCTTTGACTATTGGAATGAGATTAAGAATAATACAATAATTGAAGTCAACGAGAATTTGAAAGAATGGATGTCTATTGTATGGATCAACCCCAACCCCAGATTCATTAAAGTTAATTTTGATGCATATTGTAGATAGGATGGTTGGTGTTCCATTTGCGTGCATTGCTAGGAACCATCATGGTGTTGTTCTTGATGTTAAGGCATATTTTATCGGTTTCTCGACAATTACCTTAGTTAAAGCTTGGGGGTGCTCACAGTTTGGTTAATTGAACTGTGGCATGATTTTCTAGACTAAACTGACTTGTTCAGTTTTTAAATTTAATCAAACTGAGACTGAACCAATGCAACCGGTTAACCGTGGTTTGATTTTTCGGTTTTTTTATGCACTAAAAATTAAAAAAAAAAAAGGAAAAAACCTAGTGAGTGTCAAGTAAGATAGAGATAGAGAGAGAGAGAGAGAACAGATAGTAGGTCTGGGTCGCCTGGAAAGTCGAGGAAGAAGAAGAAGAGTCAGAGAGAGAGAGAGAGAAGAGAGAGTGAGACAGTTGTTAAGATGAACAAAAGCTCTAGCCAACTGCAAAGTGCCCAGTTTCTCCTCCTTTAGATCGTCCTTCTCTTAGCAAGTTAGCATCTCTCGATCATGGTGAAACAGATGAAGAAGGCATTCCTAAAGGCTGAAGCAGCCAAAGGTGTTCCTATGTTTGAAGAAAATTGGAAAGGGGAAAAGGCCCGGGAACTGGAAAGGTGGAAACCGTTTCTGGTGTGGAAAAGCATTGGTCTGGACCTTTGGGTTCAAGACACCAAGAAAACTCAGAGAAACTATTGAAGTTTGAAGGCTTGAAGTAAGTCTTGAACTCAGAGAAGCATTGGTAAGGCATGTCCAGATTGTCAAAGTCAGACTGAGAGACTGCCACTACCAGATAGCCCAGACTGGTAGTGACAGGTTTGATTTTCGAAGAAAATGCCGAAAACAGAACCTTGTTATTCGATTTAAAAAAATAAAAATATAATATATATATCGGTCGGTTCGGTTAACCACCGGTTTTTTTAAATGGTTAACTGAAACTGTCAGTTTTTGGAAAACATCGAACCGAAACCAAACCGACCAGTCCAGTTAACCGATTTTTTGGTTCGTTTCAGTCGGTTTGGTTTTTTGGATTTTTTTGCTCACCCCTACTGAATGTATCCCGCTTGATCTTAGTGTAATTTGTTTTTCTGATTCTTGGGGAAGAGTTATCCTCTTATTTTGTAACTCCTCTTTTTCCTAACAAAAAAAAATATTATAATGACACTTGTAATATATAATTTCATATCATGTAATGTACAATATAAAGTTTATATATGTTTCTATGGCATACTATTTATTTATATTTAAAACCATAGGTCCAATCCATTGTGATACCCCTAATTTAGGTTGTGTTTGGCATTTCACATATTTATGACTTTTGTCCTTTTTCAATTATAATAAGAAGAAAAGTGGGATTTATGAGCATGTGGTCAGTGCATATAAATCCTTTTTATTTTGTCTAAAAAGGAGAAAAAACCATGGATAGAAAAAGAGTTCAACATTGTTTTTTCTTTATATTTCTTCTTATCTAGACCTATGCTTTTATAATATTTATTTGCAAAACAAGAAAATATTTACATATTCAAAAAAATATTGGTTGTTGCATTGATATTAGGTAACTTCTATATCATGAAATTAAATAATAAGAGATGCATTGTTTAAGCCTATATGGCAGATAATAAGCTAGGGTTAGATCAAAACCAACCTATTCTAAATAACTTTGATTTTTCAAAACAACTAAATCTATAAGAAGTATTTCACCATAACGATAAAACCTATACACCTAAAAAAGAAGAAAATATTGAGTTTTGAGCTAAATTCTGGTGTTAGGGTAACATCTCACATATATACTTGTTCACGAATTGAGCTTTACCTCTTTATTAACAAAATAAATTCAGGCCCAATCTTGAGCTTAGCTTGACCATTGGGCCTAAATATTGAGCCTAAGATTGGCCCTTACTAAGGTTTTCAACCCGTTGTTGACCCAAATGATTAAACCATTTGAACCATCACCTGCTTGATTTTTCAGTAATGTTGACAGAGTCAACAAATCGTCAACCTGGTCACCATGTTGCGTGTTGCATGCTAACTATGTATGCAAACTTTGGAAGGCCATAACGTTGCACTCCGATGTCTGATTAGGGTGATTTGTTTTTTTGATTTTGGGTAACTTTTTTGAGATCCATGTATCCCAAGGAGTCGTAAGCGCCTTGTCCTGCTATTTTTGTGAAAAAAAACTTTTTGGCCTCAAATCGCAATTTTTTAATATTTTTATATGTAAAAAATCAAAAACTAAATTAAAAACATATATTAAATATAAAATAATACATATATCATATATAAAACATAATTATACATCTTTTATTGATAAAATATGTATTTATACATATATACACACACATATGTGTGTGTAGGCACTGATGTGGCCGGTCTGAACTGTTTGACCCAAACAATCGAATCGATGACCTGTAACCTAGAGGCAAAAACATTTTGGCCTCCGGGCCATTTTTTAAAACACTAGCCCATACTATAAAGGTTGAAGCTCAAGCCCGAGACTGAAGTTTGACCTATAAATTGGAAAAAAAAGATTTTTTTTTGTTTTTTAATCATTAAAATCTTATTTATTTATATTAAATGACCTTAGAACCCAAAATGTTGAAAGTTCTCGCAATGGCTTGAAAAAATGGGAAGAGAACAAATAAACAAATATTATATAATATATAAAATATGTTTTTATTACATAAATATTATTGGGCTTGGATCGGGCTTTTTTGAGAAAGCTTAAGCCTGGTCTAAAAATAGCTATGCCTAATGTTTTGGGTCAAGCTTGAGTCTACAAGCCTAAAATAATGTCCAAGCCTGACAAAGAATGGGTCGAGCCAAGCCGATACATGAACATGTTTACTCACATATAAGGCCTATATCAACTCTAAAAAGTGCTTCCAAAACCTATATAACACACATCAAGTTAAAATCAAAGCTAAACATACTAATTTCAATCGGTATTGACTTTATAAGATAAATAGTCATGAAAATTGCCTCACCACAACCTAACACAGTAAGATTTGAAACATGAAATTAAATGTTTAAGATGAATTCCTAAATTTATTATAATTGTTGGTACATAATTTTTGCTAGATTTTCTTAAAAATCCATTGCAACTTCTTGGATAAAAGGGGAAAGAAATTAAAGGAAATAGACAAAACAAAAATAGTATTTTGGGAGAATGACCAATCAGCCCAGCTCAGAATTTTATAGCCCCATAGTACAGAGGGAATGCATCCTGACCATGAATTGATTCCAAATTCATGGGCATGATGTGGTTTATAGGGCGGG